GGGGGCCGAGGGAGGCTGTAAAAAGCAAGCCACATTCCCTTGAAATGCTGCTTTAAATATCTCCAAGGCCCCCCCCTCCTGGCCTGTAATCCCCCTCCGCTGCGAGAAGGGGAAAGGAAGGCGTGTCCGTCCGAGGCTATAATAGCGGGCAAGCGGTGAGACGCTCCGATCTGAAGGAGAAGCTCGCCAGCTGAATAAACGTTGGTTGGAAAGACGAAGTGCCCGTCGTCGTTCCTTTGATTTTATTTGTTTCGTCCCGATAAACGTTGCCATAAACTTGAGAATGAATGTCGATTTCAATCGAAAATAAAGTGATCGCGGACAACTAAGGGTCATGGAATTGGACTAAAGACGTGCTTCCAGTCTCATAGGTTTGGTGTAACATGAAGTCACAAGAGGTTTGTTGTTTTTTTTTTTTTTTTTTTTTTTTTTTTTTATGGAGCCAAATTTCGTGTTACTTTGTTGTAATCAGGCCCGAGTGCTGACAAACTTGGATGAAGTTGGTTGAGGACAGCTGAAAGTAATGATCTTTGTGTGAGCAGACAACACAAAAGAGAGTGAGACGTCGTGCCAGCCACTTGTGTTGTTTTTTTTTTTTTTTTTTAATCAATAAAATTCTTTCAACCTTGGATTTAGTTGGGTGAGGAAATCGAACGGCTTAAACATGTGATCAAACTACGGAAGAATGGCGAATTGTGAAAGTTGAAGGAATAAAAGCCTGCCTTGGTGAAGCGTGTTTTAAGAAAGGGAGGCCCGCCCGCGGCAAGGAAGGCTGAAAGCCGTGACCGAGGCTGTAGTGCAAGCTGCGATACGCTCCACTTGGAACGGGGATGCTCACCGGCTGTCCCCCTCGCCGCTTGACGCCTGTCGGACACGCTCGGCCGCGTTTAATGGGATTCCATATCGTTGTCTTTCTCCGCCGACTGCCCTTAACGGCGCGGCGTCGCTCCACCTTTAAAAGCTCGCTTCCGTCGCAGACGCGGAGCCGCAACAAGCCAGCGAGCGTCTTGACAACTCCGTTGATGTCCTCAACACACCTCGACAGGGTTTTGTCACCGATGAATTCGAGCAATTCACGCTTTGTGTGTCTTAGGACCAAAGACGTTTGCATGCATTTCGGCATGTTTTATTAAAATGTTTCCCTTGCGTTTAATATGCACACAAAAAAAAAAAAACCCTACAGCGATACCCACTCTTAAATTTCCACGTGTGTTTGTGCGAGTCACGCTGCCTCTGGGATTAGCGAAAGTCGTTCCTCATCGTGGCTCGACACTTAAGTTAATTATATCTGGAGTCGGACCGGAACTGGCATTGAAAATGAGATTATTTTTTTCCCCGGCAGAACAGAGACAGAACTACAGAGCTTGTCCTCTCACTGAACCGTCAGTCCAAATCTTTGACAAAAAAAAAAAAAAAATTATAATAATAAAATAAATCGAAGGGTTGCAGCACACTGCGTCAAAACTCACACCGAATTTGCTTTTCCTCGCCTTCGGAAGAACGTGAGAACTGTAAGCACAGTCGATTGTTGCGCCGGTCCTGGCGCGCGGCGGAAGTGGCGATGACGAGGCCGCTTTGGCCGATTGCATCACAGAAGCCCCCTTTGCCGCGCTCTGCAAGCGACTCAGCGGGCGTTTGTTGACATAAAAACAACTCGTTATCGGACTTTAAACGACGTCACCGCTTCCCCCTCCCCCCTCGCCGCCGTGGATCAAAGGGCAGCGCCTGAGTTTTCAGAAGCAGCCGAGCTTTGGAGGCGGCGGGAAAGTGAGGAAGGAAGGAAGCGAGGAAGAAAGAGGGAGTAGTGTGCCTTCGCGTCGCCCCGCAGCCTGAGGCGGATAAACAAGCCCGGGGAAGTGTGAAATGGGATGATAGATGCCGCTGTGTATAAACAGATTTTTAGCCGCAAACACGAAGAAGAGAGCCCTGACAATCCACATGTATTCATCCATTTCTTCCATCCATCTCCCGTCTGCCTTTTCTCCGGGTCTCTTTCACCGCCGTGACGAGAGCAGAGGAGATTGATTAGCACAGCTGGCGTTAAGAGGCAGAAGAGGGCCCGGTCGGGCGGGGGGGGGCCGAGGGAGGCTGTAAAAAGCAGGCCACATTCCCTTGAAATGCTGCTTTAAATATCTCCAAGGCCCCCCTCCTGGCCTGTAATCCCCCTCCGCTGCGAGAAGGGGAAAGGAAGGCGTGTCCGTCCGAGGCTATAATAGTGGGCAAGCGGTGAGACGCTCCGATCGGAAGGAGAAGCTCGCCAGCTGAATAAACGTTGGTTGGAAAAACAAAGTGCCCGTCGTCGTTCCTTTGATTTTATTTGTTTCGTCCCGATAAACGTTGCCATAAACTTGAGAATGAATGTCGATTTCAATCGAAAATAAAGTGATCGCGGACAACTAAGGGTCATGGAATTGGACTAAAGACGTGCTTCCAGTCTCATAGGTTTGGTGTAACATGAAGTCACAAGAGGTTTGTTGTTTTTTTTTTTTTTTTTTTTTTTTTTTTTTTTTTTTTTTTTTTTTTTGGGACAAATTTTTCCTGTCCAATTAAAATCCTTTATATAGTGTTTTCCCGCAAATCTTTTCGAAAAATTGCCCCCCCCCCCCAA